TTCTTTAATAATTTAATTTTATTAATCTCTTAGGATTAAATTTAACAAGAAGGCGACGACGGAGTGTTTAATTCGAATTATGAATAAAATTTAAATAACAAATTTAATAAAGAAAGTTCGTGATTATGATTAATGACAACGAATTCTTCAACGAGTTTCGTTAAATCATCGTAACCCTATTAAGAACCAGAAAGGGGGGGATGAAATATGTGAACATTCGAAAGATAACGTTAAGGGAACATCAGGAAGGAGAAAATCGATAAGAAACGATATCGTTATCATTTTTTCTCTTTCTCTTTCTCTCTCTCTCTCTCTCTCTCTCTCTCTCTCTCTCTCTCTCTCTCATTCTCTCTCTAAAATACATACACACATACACACACAAACACACTATTAACCTATTTTTGATACCAATATTGATATATTGAAAAACTCTTTGGGTTCTTCGACGAATGAATTATAAAATAATTCGTAATAATTAAAAAAGAAAATAAATAAAATCTGATAAGTCGCGAGATATACCTATCTGCCATCTTTCGTTTCTAACGATTTTCATACATACCATTACATTTACAAAAAGATGATAAAAATGAGAGAGATAGAGAAAGAGAGGGAAGGAGAGAAAGAGAGAGAGAAACACGTAGAAGAAAAAAGGGGATGAAAAAAATCTATAGATACAGCTGTGTCTCATCCTTTCGAACAAAAGAAATTCTAGAGCAAAAAGAACTCTTGTAGCTTATCTGATATATAATATATATATATATATATATATATATATATATATATATAAATGTTATTTAAGAACGCGCTAAAACCTGTCGGCTATTATCCTCTGTACATAAAATAAAACGACCATCGGGAGAAACTTCCTATGTATATATAAGTGTTGATATATATATATATATATCTTTAAATTAACTTACAACATATTATATATATATATATATATGTTCTATATATACACACATATATATATAATGTGCTATAAGTTAGTTATAATAAATAGATCAATACAGATACGAGAGAGAGAAAGATAGAGATAGATATAGAAATAAAGAGAAAGAGAGAGAGAGAGAAAAGATATGATCTATCAGGCTACACTAAAAGTATTTTAAAATAATAAATATCATATGATCATCGAAAGAATAATTTTAAATAAATTTAAGTGTTAGTTTTAAATAAATAAATACATTCTTCTTTCTCTCGTTTCTCAATATATATATTTAAGGATTCATTATAGTATATATATGTGTATATATATACATATATATATATGTATATATATATATATATATATATATATATATATATATATATATGTTATTGTCATAATCAATCCTTTCTTATATATTCCTCGTATTAGCAGGATTTTGGGTTATTTATCTGGTAAAAAAAAAAAAAGGAAAGAATATAGATAAGAAAGAAAAAAAAATTAAAAAAAAAAAACACTCATTTATATGTAAAACTTTAGATTATATTAAATAGATCATGTAAAATATGTAAATGAATTGTCGCATAATTAAAATGGATAGATGAAAAATATTGAAAGTAAAATACCCGATAAAATTACATAAATATATGTATGTAAATATATTACAACGGGTATTTTACTTGCCCCCGAAACCTTTTATAGTCTTCTCTATCTCTCTCTTTCTCTCTCTCTCTCTCTTTCTCTCTTTCTCTCTGTCTCTCTCTCTCTGTCTCTCTTTTTATCTGCCTCTCTATCTCTATTTATCTTTTCCAATAAAAAAACGATCCTCCTGAAATCCTCCAATACCGCAAGACTGAAAAAGACTTTTCTCGAAAAAGGATATCTCTGCCGAAAGATATCTCGACTTTTTCTAACTAATTCGCTGCTTACGTTATTCCAAGCTCTCCTTTGGATTTTTCTTATCGAAAAAAAATTTATTTTTCTACGTCATATAGATTCTTCTCTTTGGTTTATCCTTTTATCTCACGAATTTCATCTTACTCTTTGCGTTGTTTTATTTCAACGAAAGGGAGCGGGAGGTGGAAACAAAAAAACAAAGAAAAAAAAAAAAAGAAAAAAGAAAAAAGAAAATTATATTCTATACCAGAACAATGTTGTCCTATAGAGTCGTCGTTTAATTTCGTATAATTATATCTTTGTGAATCTTTTTGTTTTCTTTTTTTAATGATATATACGTAAATAAATTTTGCGATTAGAAAAATAATAGAATTAAAACATTTTTTTTATTTATATATATATATATATTTATATAGATAGTTAGATAGATAAATAGATATGTATTATTTATTACGGAATATTTTGTCTTTATCGATTCGACGTGAAATCGTAACGTATATATATAAAATGTAAACACACTTGAAACATCTTGATAGGAATATTAACAGTAGTAATGTGGTAGTGGTAATAATACCTTTCAGAAGTTCGCAAGTACTACGAGGTACTATAAGTAAACAATGAGGTAGGTCAACAATAACGAGGCACGTTCAGTTGTCGTTCGGCTCTCAACCCTGCTTGACTTGCTTACATCTCTTCGGTAAGTATGTACATTCGTGTATACATATTTATATATATATATATATACGTATGTATTTTTTATTACTCATCGAAATCTCAAGAAAATTAGCTTTCATAAAAGATAATCTTTTTAATTATATTATCTTATTCATTTAGAATAATTTTAGATAAAACAACACGCTTTACATACGTTCAAGAATGATCGATTTTCATCGACGAGATCCATTATATACTAATAACGAACCCTACGATTTCACTTGGATCTACAAATACATACAAGATTTTTATTTATCATATCTTCGATTTTACATTTATAAGAATAACGAGTAACCATAAACATGATTAGAATCGTTAATGACTACGTTAAGTACTAGTATTTACTTCGTAAGCTTTTATTATGACTGATCGATAAATAGATGAATAGAGAAAGATCCGTTTTATTATTTTCCAAAAATTATTATTATTATCTAAAGGATACGTTTATTTATTATTGAAACATTAATTTTTTGTTCAATTTATTCTATTAATATATATACGACTTATAATTAACAATAATTGCAATCGTAAATCCCCTCCCTTTTTTTCTCCCCTCCCCCTTCCTCCCCACAGCTCTCGTTTGTTCGATTTTACATAGATATTTATTATATTTGATCAATTATTTTCTCTATACATAAATTATTAGATATTAAACATCATTTTAGGATCAATAAGCGAATGTGATTTTATTGGTATATATAAACACGTACTTACATATAATATATATGATTTATCATTTCTATCGATTTTATATGTTTAACAATTTTTATCAGTTTGGTTTATTATAAAGAGATTGATTTTTTTTTTTATTATTTATTTATTTATTTATTTTGTATTTTTTTAAATAACTAGAACGGTTAATCGAGAACTATAGAATATTATTTGGACGTTAATCCTTAGTTTCGTTAGGATCTATAATTACGATTTATAATTAACTAAGAATTATTATCATAATTGATCATAAATCGTTCGTTCGATTTTAGAATATTTATATTTATACTTCATCGATTATTTATTCTCATGCATATATTATATTTAATATCTGCTGATAGACACGCCGTCGATGTTCGAACGAATTGAATTATCCAAGTTCGAAAAAAAAAGAAAAAAAAAAAAGGAAAAGAAAAAAGAAAAAGAGAGAAAGACAGAGAGAAAGAGAGAAAGAGAGGGAGAGAGAGAGAGAGACGAGTACGATTAAAAATCATGCGAGATAAAAAAGGGATAGAGAACGAAGTTAATTAGTTGACCGGATTAAAAGCGTAAGATTTTATTTCGAGTTCAGCCACTAAAAGGACTCACCATTTAATTAATTTAACGTGCAACGATAAAAGTCATTTTGCTCTCACCCGGATTAAGAATTTTATTGATTTAAATGGAATAATTCGAAAAAATTATCTCTATTTTTTTTCGGGATTTGAGAATATTCGAAAGAAGCTTTCTTGTTTTATTTTATTCTATGTTCTTTTTTCTTTCCTTTTCTTTTCTTTTCTCTTCTTTTTTCTTACATCTTTCATATGTAAAAATTTCATCACGCATTAATTAACAACAACAACAACAACAACAACAACAAGATGTTAATCGTTGAGTCGAATCGAGTCGAGTCAAATTTATATTGAAAAAAATTTATTATTTTTATTTTGTCTCAATTTATTTTTATCTTCCCTTTTAATTAACAATAAATTACATTTACCATCGAATCCCAAATTTTCTACAAAAAGCTTTTTATTTATTTATTTATTTATTTACTCATTCATTCATTCATTTATTTATTTATATTTGACGATAAAAATATAAAATGAGAAGATAGTAATGGCAAATGAAATGTGACAAGAAAATTCAATAATTGGCTATTAGAAAGTTAAAGAGCTTTAGGGTGAGTAGTTGAAAGTTGTTCTCTAAAATACGAAGATGAAAAAGTAAAGTTGAAAAGATAGTTGCTAAATAAATAATCGTGATAAATGAAAATAAATTATTCTCGGATTATTAAATTCGAGCTTTATCCAATCGAGATCGTTGGACGTTGATTATAGATTTAAGTTTAACCAAGAATTTTCATTATTTTTATTTAATATTATTTATTCTTATTTATTAACATTACTTTTATTTTTAACGATACATATTTAAATCGTAAGACGATAGGTATAAATCGCAAATAAATGGAAAAAGAAAATTCGATAATTGATTAATTTACAAATTAGTTCAAAAAATGTTTAAGTAGTTAGTAATTGTATTCGAATACAATCAAAGATTAAAGAACAAAGTCCGAAAAAACAGTTGCTAAATTTAATAAATAAAAGTTAATTATGATGAATACTGTGAATTATTATGTTTGAGTTTTATTAAACGAAAAATCAATATCGAGCGAGACTATCAAACTTTTTAAAATATTGATCATAAAAAAATCGTTTGATTAATTATTTAATTTATTTACTAATTATGATCTCACGAATGAAAAATATATTGAGTTGGCAACTAAGTGATTGCGGATTTTGTCGATATATGGAATTTACACTTTCTTTTGTTTTGTTAACGTGGTCATTGCATCTAATCTATATTTTGTTTCTTATTATTTGGACTTCTACCTTTAATTTAGTAAAAAAATTATATCGATTAGAGCTTTAGTTTTGTTTTTATCCCAATTTAAAAATGGAAGAACAAGACGTGCACTTCAGACATATTTTATTGTATTACTTCCGAAAAGAACGCATCGTAAGCACAAAAGAAGTTATGGCCGTATATGGAAATGAAGCCTTGAAAGAAAGGCAGTATCAAAATTGGTTTACCAGATTTCGTTCTGGTGATTTTTCACTGAAAAATGCTCAACGATCTGGCCGTCCAATTGAAGTCGATCAGATCCATATCAAGGACATTATCGATTCAGATCGTCATAGTACAACACATGATATTGCAGAAAAGCTCAATGTATCGCATACATGCATTGAAAAAAAATTAAAAATACCTGATTATGTCAAGAAACTCGATTTATGGATCCCTCACCAGCTTAAGGAAATTCATTTGACGCAACGCATTAGCATCTACGATTCGCTTCTGAAACGCAACGAAACTGATCCATTTCTGAAAAGCCTAATTACTGCGAAAAGTAGATAGTTTATAACAACGTTAATTGGAAGAGATCGTGGGTGATGAAAGATGAACCAGCCCAAACGACATCAAAAGCAGAGATTCACCAAAAAAAGATTATGCTGTCAGTCTGGTGAGATTATAAAGGAATTTTGTACTTTGAACTTATGCCATAAAACCAAACGATCAATTCAAACATGTAAGTTCAACAACTCGCCAAACTGAGCGATGCAATTCAAGAAAAGCGGCCGGTATTGTCAAATCTTAAGGGTGTCGTTTTCCACCATGATAATGCAAAGCTTCACACGTCTTTGATCACTCGCCTAAAATTATTGGAACTGGATTGAGATGTTTTATCACATTCACCATATAGCCCTGATCTTGCGCCTTCAGACTACCATTTGTTTCGTTCCATGCAGAACTCTTTAAAAAGTAAAATTTTTAATAATGCTGATGATGTCAGATCACATTTAATTCAGTTTTTTGATAGCAAAGATTAGAAATTTTACGAACGTGGAATTTTGACACTGCCAGAACGATGACAAAAGGCCATCGACAAGAACGGACAGTATCTAATTGAATAAAGTTATATTTTTAAACAAAAATTAAGAATTTTCCTTCTTATTTGAAATTCGCAATCACTTAATTGCCAACCCAATACTAAATAAAATCTTATCTAGAATAATAATCATAAATCATAGTGACTTCGTTTCCTCGAAAGAAGTCGAGTAATATTTCATTATTATCTTTGACTCTTTAACTTTTCGAAAACTCTGTATTAAACCTCTAGAGAATCATTTTTCATTTTAATATATTTTTATTTTCTATTCTTATTTTATTTTATTTTATATTATTTTATTTTTTATTTATTTATTTATCTTTTTTTTTCCAATGTTATATCTGACGATATTTAATAATATTTATTGCTAAATCATTTCTAAATCATTCAATAAGATCTCATGCATAGTTAATACATATACGAAGATTATTTTGAAATCGATTTCTGCGGAAATGGTAAATGAATAAATGAATAATAATAATAATAATAAAAAAAAAGGAGCAATAGCATTCACGGTATCTCGACATTGTTCTAACAAAATGTCAACAATCAAGGTAATCGTGGTAGTCTCGTAGTCATCGGTCATGCAATTTGTCACTTTGGAAATTTTATATATATATGTAGCTATACGCTTGATGGGCACATTAATACGTTTCCTCTCTATTATCTATTCTTCTTTGGTTTATCATTACTATTTTGTTTGTCGACATTTGACTAATAGATTAATCGATAAATCGAAAAGAAATTAATCAATTTCACGTTATTTAAAACGAAAGTTACATTTTGTATATTAATCATTTTTCACAGTATATATATATATATATATATATATATATATATCTTTCATTTATAAATAATCATTTAAAATAATTAAACAAATAATTTAAATAATAATCGATGATCAGCTATTCGTATTCACAATGCGAATCGATTACACATTATTCCAATCAAATATTATTTTTCAATTTATATTTATCCTTTTTCTTCTTTTAAATATGAATAATAATACAAAATGATTAAATCATAATTTAAATAATAATCGATTAATATTCACTCGTGTATTATAATGTTCATTTAAATGGAAGAGAGAATACTAATATGTTATTATTCTAAAGATTATTTATCAATTTATATTTATCCTTCGTAGATTTTATGAATAATAATTCGAAATAATTAAATGATAATATTTAAATAATAATCGACAGATCGATCGAAAACAATTCATATTCGTAAGTGCGGATCTAATAAGTATTAAAGCAATCTTTTTCTTTTTTCTTTTTTTGCACTTACATTAATTTAGTCAAAAGTTTTGTAATGTTCTTAGTAGTCGAGATAGTTGCTATCATTTCAATGAAGAAATTACAACGAACTTTCAAAGTTCTTAACTAAAACTATGTTCCAAATAGACGAAGAAAACTTTTAGACATACAATATAACAAACTTTTGAACAAAGATGGAAAGCATGGAGATCCAAAGTTTTGTTGTTGAAAAAGTCTAGAACATATATATATATATATATATATATATATATATATACCAACGAAACTTTCTTCTATATTTATCGTCTATCCCTTTCTACTGGGAGATCCCTTTCTAGGGTTGGCAACTAAGTGATCGCGAATTTCAAATAAAAAAGAAAATTCTTAATTTTTGTTTAAAAATATAACTTTATTCAATTAGGTACTGTCCGTTCCTGTCGATGACCTTTTGTCATCGTTCTGACAGTGTCAAAATTCCACGTTCGTAAAATTTCTGATCTTTGCTATCAAAAAACTGAATTAAATGTGATCTGACATCATCAGCATTATTAAAAATTTTACTTTTTAAAGAGTTCTGCATGGAACGAAACAAATGGTAGTCTGAAGGCGCAAGATCAGGGCTATATAGTGAATGTGATAAAACATCTCAATCCAGTTCCAATAATTTTAGGCGAGTGATCAAAGACGTGTGAAGCTTTGCATTATCATGGTGGAAAACGACACCCTTAAGATTTGACAATACCGGCCGCTTTTCTTGAATTGCATCGCTCAGTTTGGCGAGTTGTTGAACTTACACGTTTGAATTGATCGTTTGGTTTTATGGCATAAGTTCAAAGTACAAAATTCCTTTATAATCTCACCAGACTGACAGCATAATCTTTTTTTGGTGAATCTCTGCTTTTGATGTCGTTTGGGCTGGTTCATCTTTCATCACCCACGATCTCTTCCAATTAACGTTGTTATAAACTATCCACTTTTCGCAGTAATTAGGCTTTTCAGAAATGGATCAGTTTCGTTGCGTTTCAGAAGCGAATCGTAGATGCTAATGCGTTGCGTCAAATGAATTTCCTTAAGCTGGTGAGGGATCCATAAATCGAGTTTCTTGACATAACCAGGCATTTTTTATTTTTTTTCAATGCATGTATGCGATACATTGAGCTTTTCCGCAATATCACGTGTTGTACTATGACGATCTGAATCGATAATGGCCTTGATATGGATCTGATCGACTTCAATTGGACGGCCAGATCGTTGAGCATTTTTCAGTGAAAAATCACCAGAACGAAATCTGGTAAACCAATTTTGATACTGCCTTTCTTTCAAGGCTTCATTTCCATATACGGCACATAAATTCTTTTGTGCTTACGATGCGTTCTTTTCGGAAGTAATACAATAAAATATGTCTGAAGTGCACGTCTTGTTCTTCCATTTTTAAATTGGGATAAAAACAAAACTAAAGCTCTAATCGATATAATTTTTTTACTAAATTAAAGGTGAAAGTTCAAATAATAAGAAAAAAATATAGGTTAGATGCAATGACCACGTTAACAAAACAAAAGAAAGTGTAAAGTCCATCTATCGACAAAATCCGCAATCACTTAGTTGCCAACTCAACAGATAGTTATTTTTCCGGTAGAGTACATATAATTTTACTTTTCCGAAAAGAAAAGGCTGTGCCAATAAATACATATACTTTCTTTTTTCACTGTCCTCATGGATAAAATTTATATTATTTTTCTCTAATATCAAAAACTTTTTATATATCTCTTTCTAAAGTTTAGTAATAAATAGGAAATAAAAAAGGAGAGATAACAACGAAAGTCTAACGAAGTGCAAAACTAATGTTTCTAATGAGTTTTCTCTATTTCTTTTTTAAATTACATGTTAATACATATGATTAAATGTTAATACACTCGGTAAACAAGTTTATTAGATCAATCAAATGTTAGTTCTCATTTTTTATCTCGTTTCCATGAGGATTTTGATTTTTTTTTTTTTTTTTTTTTTTTTTATTTTATATTGTAAAATGTTATTAGAGAGAGTCATTAGAGAAAGTTCAAAAACAAAATGAATTGGACCAAGCAGAATGTTTGATGATATTATACATAAGTGTTATTATTATGCAATTTAAAAAAAAAATCATTAATTCATTTGTTTTGTTATGTTTTTCTTATTACGATCGAAACATTTGACTTTGATGTTAATCATGTTTTAGGTATACAAAGTTTCTAATATAGGTAGATTATATATATACATATATATATATATATTATATATGATATATATATATGTATATTATATATGATATATATATATATGTATGGTATGTATATATATACATAGAGCTCTTATTAGTTATATTTGCATACTACATATTTGATACAAGTTTATTCTACCAATGAAAATATAAATATCGAGACAATAAGATTATTGTATACAGTGTGACGGAACGCATGAAATTTGTTCTTTTATGTTTGCTTTTCTTTTTTTTTCTTCCTTAATTTTTTATTTTTAAGTAGAAAACCGCACTTCCAGCAAAAGAATTTATTCCATAGATTACATTACAAAATATTACACCCCCTTTTCTTTCTCTCTCTCTCTCTCTCTCTCTCTCTCTCTCTCTCTCTCTGCGTGCTGGAAAGCCATTGCAAGTTTGGTACCACTTCGTAGTAACCAGTTAGTAGCCATTGTTATTAACTTTATTGATTAAAATAGAAGTGTTTCAATATTTTCCACCTACTTTTGCTTCAATCTATAATCTATATAAACTTTCCTTTGTTAAATAACATTATTACAGATAGATAAAACCTTATCCTCCGTTTTTTCGAGTGTAACTTCGTTTTTTTTCTCTTTCTTTTTTTTTCCCCCTGTTATTATTAATTTGAAGTTCCAGCTTGTATAAAGTTAGTTGAAATGAAAAATCAAAAGCTAACAAAACAATGATTTTCTTTAAAAAGTCATCGTTCATTCGTTTCAAGGCGTCGATATGATATATAGCCATATTATATAAATTCATTATTTTGTATTAGTCTTTACATACACTTGAACAACTGAGATAAATATTCACAACATTGTTATAGAATGTGGCTTTTGTTTAAACATATATAAATATATATATATATATATATACACACATATATATATATATATATATATATATTTTCGCTACTTTTAATTCGGGAATAATAATGTTTTTTCTCAGCTGATTCAAAACAAAGTATACGTTTAACAGATGCAATAAAATAAGAAACACATCTTTCGTAGAAATATTTAATTTCTGTAACAGCCTATTTTATTTCTTGTCAACTGTTACTCATATAGCAGTATTATAGTGTATGTCAAGTATTTATAACGTGTGTATAGTTATATTTCGCTTAATCGTTGCTTATGCAACTTCGCATTTCTTGACTTTTAATTACAACAGTCTGTCCTGGGAAACATCTATAGAAAATAAGGAAATCTAATGAACAATAGTACTTGTGTTTCTTCGCAAGAGATTTACTTAATGTCTATATATCTATGTACCTAGGGCTTTACCTCGACAATAAATTCTTTAAGCTTCGGGCGTAGCTAATGGTGCCTCTTTCTTTTCGTCGATTGTGATTATTTCTTTTTTGTCACCGGAGACTTTATCATTCTCCTCGACTTCTTTTTTTGGTGCAACCTAGAAATAAACATAGATATTATCTATAGAGTTAAATAACAAAGATATATAATTATTTTTATTTATAAAAAGTATAGAATCTTTTATAACATTTACCTCTTCTTTGCTTGCCTCATCAAAATTCTCAACTAAATCTGGAACTTCATCGTCTTCTTCTAACGTAGCTTTACCAACTGCGCTACCTGCCACTGTACTTGCTAACCGCTTAAGTTGCGTTAAACCTTCTGGACCTAATTGACTTAGTATACCAGGCAACATTTCGGTTATTTGTTTATTTTCCCCATGGCCAGTAATCGCAAATGTGTTAGCCGATAAACTGGCCTGGGCTTTTGGATTATTAAAATGGACGACAGTACCATCGTCCTTGATCATGTTAACTTCCTCTATACCAGGAATAGTATTAACAGATAATTTTTTCAGACAACTTTGTAACTTTTTGTCATCTGTCGCAGCGGTCGCATGTACTACCTGCAAAATTCCATAGATTTTATCATTTACATAAAAATAATAATGAGGTTTTAAAATTAATGAAAATAAATTAACTAATAAATAAACAATTGTCTATTAGGAATAAAAGTGAAAATTAATGATATCTATAAGTTGGAACAATAAAACTGTTTCATGCTTTTTCTCATAATAATTAGCTATAAGTAAATCAATGTAAATAGTAGAAAGAAATATAAGATGATAGAAAGAAATCAAAGAATATCAATAACATAAATGAATTATCAAAGAATAATGAAAGAAATACGTTTAAAATGTAATATCTTAGATACACGTTGAATTTCTATTTCAATGAAAGAGAACGTTAAACTAGAGAAAATATTTTCTATAGAAATAGAGTTGTATTATAAGGAAAAAAAAAAAAGAAGAAAGAAAAAAAAAGGAAAAGAAAAAGATGTAAAATTAGAATTAATGAGATCGAAGTAGAACGAAAGTTAATACGATCGAACGTAACTAATGTAAAGGGAAATGAAAGGAGAAAAAAAAAATAATAATAAAAAAACAAAATAAAAAAAGATTGATGTACCTTCTTCTTGCGTCGGGGTGTTCCCTTACCGCCGATTCGTACTTGGGCTTGAAGCTTCTTCAACTTTTCCGGATTCATGTTGATATTATTATGTGGAAAAGGACAATTAAACGATCGATTCGAATATTATACACGATACGTGATAATGGCGTAAACAACGGTGAGATTTCGATAAGATACAAAAAAAGTCGAGTACTTCGTATTAAACGAAACTGCCGGCGACACAAACACGTGCTCTCTGTTCGCCGAGTGGATCGAGAAAATGGAAGTGTACGCTTCTCTAGCTCTCCTACGTCAGAGACAGCTTCCGTACGTATTCAACGTTTCCGGTTGAATCTTAATTCAATAGAATTAATCGCGCGTAAAATTTTCATCATTTCAAACAACTTTATTTATCATTGATAACATTTTATAAATGGCCTTATATTATTTTAAATCAATATATTTTAACAATGTCAAATTATTTTTCGTCAATCGAAATTTCTTACAACAGTTCCTTTGATTCACGGCGTAGCTCATGGAGGGAGAGATAAAGAGAGTGAGCGAGCGAGCGAGTGAGTGAGTGAGAAAGGTGAGGAGAGCAAAGGTGGCGGGGAGAGGAGAAAGAGAGAGAGAGAGAGAGAGAGAGAGAAAGAGAGAGAGAAAGGAGGAAGAGAAAAGGAAGGAAAGAAAATCATCGCGTAACGTCGTGTGCTGTATGTCTAGAGAAAAAAAATTTTCATGGTAACCTTATGGGACTGAGATATACGGGACATGAAATCGAATTGATTTATATAGTTCGATATCAGCGATATCGGTCCTTTTATTTATTATTTTTTTAAATATCTATAAATAAGATTTTTTCTTTTTTCTTTTCTTTTTCGAAAAGTATCTAATATTTCAAGGAAGAAATAATTTTTTTTTTCTTTTTTTTTTTTTAAATTTTATCTCTCCATTTCCATCTCTATCTTTCTTTATCCTCGCACATAAAATTTTTTTTGTGCAAGAATAATGTCAAATTGAAGATTTGAAATTTGTAATGGCAATCGTGATCTTGATATTTACATTCGGTTTAACCTTGAGACTTGATAGATATGTTTTAACGTTCGTACTTCTAAAATCCGCGAAAAAAGACATTTTATTCGCTACGACTTGAATATATAATCTTTATTTCTTTCATGTATTATGTATGGCAATTGTTTTTAATGTAATCATGCTGTAGAATTTTTTTATGAATTAAATGATTGATTATGGTTGCAGGAAAATAATCGAAAAAAATTTACAATATTATAGAATACGTATTTATTAAATAACATATTTTTTAGCATTTCCGATCTAAGATATGTGTATATATATATATATATATATATATATATATATATATATATATATACACACATACATACACATATATATATACACAATATATTAAATCGACATGTGTTGTATGATACATTAGTCATTATATAATAAAAACAATTCGAATTTTTTTTTTTCCTTTTTCTTTCTTTCTTTATAACGTCGATTCATCTCGGTAGTAGTAGTTTTAATAAATAAATAAAAAATAGGAAAATTTAAAATATACAAATTGCTTGTTCAAACAAGTTTTCATCAAATATAATCTAATTATCATTAAACGACGCTCTAAATGATTCTCTAAAATTTTATTCGCGCATCGGCAAACAATTGTTTATTTAGGAACGCACTTTGTACCCATCCTTAAAAAACAGAGTAAATTAGATCAGTCTTTGCATTTAACAATTTCAACTCCAACCTATTAGAGTATCAAAAACAGAAATAGCGATACTTATATATGTTTCAGTACATCATCGAGAATATAACTTTCTAACGTATTTAAATTTTTTTCGAAGCATATATATATATATATACATATGCTTTTTTTATATAATTAAAAATTTTGCATTATTTAACCCTTCAAGTACTAGTTAGTTAAATATATTATAATTCAATTTAAATTGAAATATATTCACACAAATAAAATATATAAATAATGTATAAGCATTCATAAAAATATACAAAGTTAATTACACATTATTTTGATATATTCGTTATTAGAATTTATGTACTGAAAGGGTTAAAGTACATTTAAATTAATTTATAATATATAACATAAAATCGTTTCGCATTACAATTAATAGCCGATTTAAATATATACATGACTATGTAATGTAAAATATTCTTGTGGTTTTTTTTTCTTCTTTTTCTTTTTTTTCTGTTTTTTTTTCTCTTTCTTTTTGTTCTTTTTCAAACACTTAAAATTTTGCAATAACAAAGAAATAACAATACAATACTTTAAAATAAATACTTAACTTATATAGACATTTTAACTTTTTATTCAATAATTTTTCGATAATGCTATCTTTCTCCATCTTTGGCTAGCTTCATTTTTAACGTGTCCAAATTCAAATCGAATTCTCAATTCGCCAATTTTCGATATTGGTAGAATATCCGGTATCCATTCTATTAAAAACGGCGTTGGCTCCACTTGATTTGGAGAAGTATTACCTAAAAATATTATTTGGAAAACTATATTCCATTAACAAAAAAATTAATTAAAATTGTTGGCTAATATATGTATATCTGTATAATGCAAAAATAATATTTTATCGAAAAAGTTCTTACCAACTTTTAGATAAGTTTTCAATTCCAATGGTTTGATCAATGCATTATTATTTGTTTTTTTATACCGATCGATATCAGTTTCTTTTCGTTTATATAATTCATATGTACCATCTGCATTTTGTATAAAACTTCGTGTTATTTCTAAAGGTATAAGAGGCGTTTCAAAAATACTCTTCACGTGTAATATATTTGTAATTTGCCATGTATATTTAGTAAAGGTGCCCAATGGTACTCCATCTTTTCTGACAAAGGCTGTTGTTGAATTAGGTAAACGTTTTTTCTTACCGCCACAAGATATTCTCTCCCGTAAACAATCAAAAAATATTTGTGGTACATGAAATACCAAAGGGTCAGGTTTTCCATCAAATTGAAAATGCATTGTTTGATTTATTCTCTCTGTAATTGATGCTAACCATTTTATGAAAGATAGGCTTGTATTAGATTCGTCCAAGTCTTCGCATGAATTTTGATATCTCTTTATAATAGTTGGTTTTGCTTTTGATTTTCTAGGTTCAATGGAACTTAAATTATTTAGACCTGTAGCATTTAATTTATTCATATTTTTGTCATCTCTTTTTCTCTTTATCGAAACAGCCGGTTGGATAGAACCACTTTCAGAATTAGATATATTTCCATTATCATATTGTATTAAAGCATTCTTTTCTATCATCTTAATCTCACTACCATTTATTACTGCATTAGTATCTATTAATTTTATATTGTTTACATCTAATACTGTATTTGTATCAATGACTTTTAAATTTCCAGTATTTAATATTTTTATATTATTATCATTTAATATATATTGACTATTTAATACATTGTACTTTGTATCAATTTCAGTTTGCTCATCTAATATTTTCATCGTATTTCCATTAAATTGTACACCATTCTGGTCGATAACTTCCAAATTATGAACCTGAAAAATAATTATAATTATAATTAGAATATTATTTTAATAATACTTTCAAATATTCACTGGCTATTAGCAAATAGCATAGAATGGTTGTGTGATACCTGAGAAATAATATTATTATCTTCTAACAAACTACGATCACATTCCACTTCAATATTTTCAACAATGCTATTAGGTAAAATTGATGAATCCAAGTTCATTGAATCTAAATCAAGTCTATTTCCATCTAAACTTTGCACAGTTAAAGTGTCATCACGAAAAATCAACAGATGTGTATCAGCATCATCTGTGTTTAAAGCATCTAGATCTAACATTGGTTATAACACAAAATTAGATATCTTTTATGATAGGAAAATATCCTTCCATAAAAAATATATATATTACCTATTCCAACTATTTTATCTTGTTCATTATGTTGCAAAATAGATACTGATGGCTTTGGTATACTTAAATCATTTTGATCTAAGTTTATATAATAACTAAATTCTTCCGACAATTTAGGATCACTAGCAAAGGCACATATACATGCATAAAAATGTACACAGCGCTTTGCTTGCAAAAAATGCATTGTTTCTATCTTATCTCCAATTGATTTTGCTGTACCCTGTACATATAATTTTATATAAAACGCTACAATTTTCATAAAAAATTTTAAACTTTGTAAAGTTTAAAAGATGATAATTCTATTAACTTACCTTAAATGCAGTACAACTACAGAAAGAACGATGTTCTACTCTATCTTTCAATTTAGTAACAAAGAAAGAAAAATGAAGATATCCTAAAGGATGTTTTGGCGAAGCTTTACATTTTACAGCCATTATATTTTTAGAAACTCTTTGTACCAATGGACCAGAGGTTTCTGTAGCTAATAACCAAATTTCTTGTTTCATTTCATTGTTTACATTTAAAGATGATAAAATAGAATTTCTTAGGGTCAATGGTTGAGCCTCAGCATAACATCTTAATGCAGCTTGGATATGTTGACACGTTGATACGGATAAATCAGATGAATCTTTCTCCTTAAATTATATCTTATTATTACAATTCATGTGAATTCCATTAGGCAAATTAATTTCTTTTTTTTTTTTTATCATGAGAATATTTATTTACTTACATGACATTTAAGGACACTGGTATCAAAACTTCTCTCGCAAGTATCCACAAAACATAGAGCGGTTGTTTGTGAAATTAATGTTGTAATGTCGTTAGAAATTGTTGCATTTATTAATGGCAATTGTACAAAACCTCGATAATCAGGACCTTTGTCTCTCACTCGAACAGAGAACACTTGCGCAGTCGAACCGGTTATTAATTTACAAGCTTCCGTAGATAATTTTCGTTTTTCTCCTGGTTCTTTAAATACCGCATCACAATATTTATTTTTACAACACAATCCTCGAGAACCGTTATATGTTCCACATTTTGGACACTTTCTCACACCACGTAAAGTTGCCTTTCCTAAATCAGATAATAATTTTCGAAGACGCTCCTCATTGGACATAGCTACTGAAAATATTAAATATATTTTAATACGAGTTCAATATTATTTACATATGATGAAATAATATATACATTAATATTTAAAAACAATATTTATATGTGAATCAAATATCAATGATTATTGCTTCACTTTTGTTAACATTTAATTCTTATACAAAATTATATATTCATTCATTCACATACGAGCTATTAACACGATTATGTCTATACCTTGTTATCTATCAAATTCAAATATATTAGGACGGTGACGATAAGGCAATGAAGAGATCTGCCTTTCGATCGATGCTAATACTTGAAAAATGTTGATTTCAACTAGTAAATAAATAACTCATTTCAATACTGATTATATATATGTATATATATATATATATATATACATATATATATAAATATGTGTGTACGAGATAGTCTGAAAAGTTTTCGATCTCAACATGAAGATGGCAGCACTCGTTAACAAAAGCTAGGGAATGTGTTTGCACATCTTTTAAAAAGATACTCACTAAATTTTCAGATATTTTGGATGCGCAGTTGTTTGACAATCATTTGAATGAATCGATTTGAGTGTTTTTGTGAAAATAGAAAAAATCGAGTATCGAGATGTCATTAAATATTTGTTTTTTAAAGGCAATACACCTACGCAAATCAAAGACAAGTTGGACGATGTGTACGGATTGAACTTTACATCATTATTTACCACTGTGAAATTTTGAGTAGCTGAATTTAAACGTGGCCGTATCAGTTTACAAGACGATGGACCTTCGGGACATCCAAAAACTACAACCATTGACGATAACATCACTCAAGTTTACCAAATGGTGCTAAACTATTGTCGAATTAAAATCAGAGACATAGCAAAGACTATGAATATGTCCAAAGAATGTATTTGTTACATATTGAATCAAGATTTAAGCATAAGAAAGCTGTTCGCTGCGTTGGATGCTGTGTTTGCTTACGTTAGACCAAAAAGCATTTTTGAATGAACATTTTCAACGCTCTCTTCACGCAGTTTAGGCGTAATAAATCAGAGTTTTTACGCCGATTAATTACTGTAGATGATACTTGGATACACCATTATAACCGAGAAATAGAAATACTATCAAAACAATGGACTGCGAAGGGAGACTCGGCTCTAAAAGAAGCAAAAACTGTTTTTTCGGCTGAGAAAATGATGGCGACTGTTTTTTGGGATATTCATGGAGTTATCTTAATCGATTTGTTTCAAAAAGGTAATAATCATTACAGGATCATACTACGTATCACTACTTGACAAGCTGAAGGCAAATATTGCGGAAAAATGGCCATATTTTTGAAGAAAAAAAATTTTCTTTTACCAAGACAATATGTTGTCTCACATCTTAGCATTTGCCATAGCAAAAAATCCACGAATTACAGTTTGAATTGTTTGACCATTTTCCTTGCTCATCAGATCTAGTCCGCAAGCGACGTTTTTTTGTTTCCTAAGGTAAAAGTTGCGCTCAAAGGATAGAGATTTTTATGATTATGTTAAATGAGGGAGGCCATCACCTTCGTAAATAATTATTTTGCAGAGAAAGACGCCAAGTACTATTTAAACGGGTTAAAGAGATGGGAGCATCGTTGGGAAAAGTGTATAGACTTACAAGGATAGGATGTAAAAAAATAAAAATAAATTTATATATAAAAAGAAAAAAATGTCTTGTATCTTTGTTAGGTCAGAAACTTTTTAAATCACCCGCGTATATTAAAAATTACATTTAGAGAGGCATCATTCGCGTAATAATTATTGGTAGTTTGTTATTTTGTATAGTATATTGACCAATGAGAAAGGATTAAATCCTATGAGCAACCAATAGTATCATTTTATAACCCGTACAGCACGAAATATTTTTATTATTAGGTACGGAATTATTTTAAAAAAGATTAAGACAAAATTTCGATTTGTACATTTTATTAATAATAAGATTAAAATTGTAACGAGTAAAAAAAAGAAATTATTATTTATGAAAATTGAACAAACGAGTTCGTCCTCTTATGAAATTTATAATCAATGCTACTCCTAACCTCTTTCGAGGCAAAACGAATGTAAGCCGGAATCGTCGTACATCGTTCAATTTGTTTGTGAAAAAATTTTTGAAGTGAAAATCTTTTTTTAGAAAAAAAAATTAATTTAATTAATTTTTAATTAAATGATCTGAAGCATAGGTTTCAATTAAAAACTATTATAATGCATATAAAACGTTTATTGAGCGTTCGAAAGTTTTTTCAACAAGTTTATCACAGAAAGCATAGTTCTAATGAAAATTATATACATAAAGAAAGAGAGAAAAAGAAGATAGATAAAAATGTATTAAAACTCAAAGAAAGGGGTATGTACGAGGATATTTTTCCGAATAATTGTAAGTAAGTATTATTAATCTGTATATATTGCGTATTATATATATTTATTGCATTATTATTGAAAAAACAAAATAAAAAAAAGAAAAAAAAAACTGTAACCTTTCTTTTTCTTCTTACAGCCAAGAAATAACAGATTTATTAACTACATCTCCACAATGTGTTTACGCTGGATTCGATCCAACAGCCAGCAGTTTACATATAGGAAATTTGTTAATATTGATGAATCTTTTACATTGGCAAAGAGCTGGACATCAAGTCATAGCTGTATTAGGTGGAGGAACTGGTTTAATAGGTGATCCTAGTCATAGAAAATCTGAAAGAATTGAAATGGAAGAATTTCTCTTAAAAACCAACTTGGAATCCATTAGAGAAGACATAGAAAATATATTTAATAATCATAAACAGTATTTTTGGTCCGATAATACCAAATTATTGAAACCATTGATCATCTTAAATAATATCAATTGGTATACGAATATTAATATCATTCAGTTTGTAAGAAAAGTTGGAAAGTATTTTAGATTGGGTACTATGTTAGGACGGACATCCGTTCAATCACGTTTAAATTCAGACACAGGAATGAGTTTTACAGAATTTACTTATCAAGTTTTTCAAGCATACGATTGGTTTCACTTAGCAAATAAATATAACTGTCTATTTCAAATTGGTGGAAGCGATCAAATGGGTAATATTATGTCCGGATACGATTTAATCACAAAAGCCACAAATAAGACAGTTTATGGTTTAACATTGCCGCTTATAACGGCAGAAGGTGGTAAAAAATTTGGAAAATCTACTGGCAATGCGGTATGGTTATCTCCATCTAAGTCCTCCAGTTTTCAACTTTATCAATTCTTCATTAGAACCAAAGACACAGATGTTGAAAATCTATTGAAACTCTTTACCTTTCTACCGCTCTATAAAATAGAAAACATTGTACAAGAACATTTGAAACAGCCAGAAGATAGATTAGCCCAAAAAATTTTAGCCGAAGAAGTTACACTTCTTGTTCACGGAGGTAGTTCTAATTTAATAAAACTATTTAATATAGAATAATACTTTTATTACCTGAGAGGAAAAAAAAATATATATATATATATAAAAAAAAAAAAAATATCTTTTTTCAGAACTCGGCTTAAAGGCAGCCAAAGAAGCTTCAATGGTGTTATATAATAAGTCAATCGATACTTTAGTTAAAATGAGTGCCGATGAGATAGCCAATGTATTTGAAGGAGCAACAGTTGTAGATATATTAGGAGAACAAGGCTTGACGATATACGAATTAGCAACACAAGTTAAATGTTTCAAAAGTGATCACGATGCACGTAGAATTATATCAGCAGGCGGTTTTTACGTAAATTATGCAAAAGTTACAAACTTGAACGAAGTTGTAGTTCCTGGTATTCATATATTATCGAATAATGTGACCCTATTGAGGGTCGGTAAAAAATCTTATCACATAGTACGATGGGTCAATACATTATAATTGATTCTTAAATTTGTATAGTTTTTTTCTTTTCTTTTCTTTTTTTTTTTTTTTTTTTTTTCTTCGAATAAGTATATATATATATAACGGATCTTCAATGTATGTTATTATTTCGTTTTAATTAATCATTTATAAAACATCAGAATATAATTAAAATGCTCTACATTATCATACGAGTTTCTACCAGTAATACTACATCATGTCGATAAAGTAGAACGTATCGTTAAAACTAACGACCAAAGATATTAATTTATTCTATAAACGAGTATGATACTAAATTATATTTGATAGCGGCTATGAAGAGACGGAGAAGGTTGGGATGGGTGGTGGCTGGGGGGTAGGAAGAGAGCGGCTCAGGACGGAGAGAAAAACTGAAAGAATATGGAATTTTTAAAGAGGTATAAACTCGATTTTGCCAAGTTGATAAAATAAAAGATAAGGAGGAAGCTGCAACAGCATACGTCGTAGGATGATCCGGTCCGTTATCGGTGGAATGTTAAAAGGTTAGCCGGCTCGTCATTTTGGATTTATCTGAATTAAAATTCTTCAGGGCTGTGCCTTTAAATGCATTTTTGGTAAGGTCATAAAGATCGTGCAACGAAATTTTTGTTTTTCTATTTTTCTTTCTTCTTTTTTTCTTTTTTTTTTCTCTTTTTTTTTTCTTTTTATCTTTTTTCCAAATAAGAAAATATTCTTACGTCGATTTAAATTTATGCATTCACATGAAGTAGATACCTTTAAAGGAAAAGAGCGAGCTTTTTATCGTACATATCTTCTGTACGTATGTAGTAGCATCAGTAGAGATCAGCAAAGCATTCCTTTTTAGTCGACAAATTCCTAAGCATTCTCCAGATACTAATAAGGAATATATATATATATATATATATATATATATATATATATATATATATGTACATATATACATATGTACATATATATATGTACTCCGGTGTAATACATCGCTGATACATTAGAAGTACACGAAAGGAAAGATCATAAAAGTAAAAGTAAAGGAAGGGAAGGTAGCGCTCGCTTGAAAAATGTTGCAAATTAAAATGGCGGGGAACGTTGAGGAAGTTTCGTGGCTTACGACAATTGCGTAACAGATGGCGCATATATAAACTTGTTGAGAGTTAAGCATATTGTGTTTTTTTTCTCTTTTCTTTTGTTTTTTTTTGTCAATTAAAATAATAGAAATAAAAACAGACGATATTTTCACTATCGTCGAACGATTTTTCATTGCGATTCGAAAATAATAAGATATTTTTGTAAGTTGGATGGAATTTTTTCGGTGGCCAAATATAAATCTCGTTAGATATTTCTCACGATTATATATATATATATACGCATCTTTTAGATTTTTTTAAATTTCTAATTGCCATTTTAAATAGAAAGGAGGAAGGGAAAGGAAACAAAAAAAAAAAAGAAAAGAAAAAAGAAGAAGAAGAAAAAAAAAGAAAAAAATAAGAAATAGAAATGAAAGAAACGAAAGAATAACGACGAAGTGTACGAAAGTGCATGGAACTCCCGTTTAACAGGAAAACCGCTTTAAGGTTTTACAAGAGGAACAAGCTGAAAGATCGAGCATGTTATTTGTCTCTCTCTCTCTCTTTCTCTCTCTCTCTCTCTCTCTCTCGCGCGCTCTCTATTTCTCTTTTTCTCTCTGTTTTTGAAATCGTCGTAAAGTCTCGATCGTCGTCGAAAGTGAAAAGAAATGGAACGGGGCACGATAGGTTAGCGAGTCGTACCTGTATTACCTTCCACCCAACTTCGGTCCAACGTTTGGTCCTTTCCCTTTCCCTCACCCTCACCTTCATCCTCATCCCACCCCTACCACCATCACTACCACCTCTTCTCCCCAATCCCGTCTACTTACTTGCTTCTCGTAGCTTGGACTTTGCTTTATGCGGGACACTTTATGCCCCCGATTGCGAACGACACCGGAACGCTCTCAAGTCCTCGTCGGCGTAGCGGATCCGTTGCCTTCCACCGATCGGGATCCCCTTTTTCCGATCGCAAAACAACGAGAGCGCTTTAATTTAAGATTCCAAGAAGGACCGAGAAGAAGCTGGTCGCGTTTCTCGAGTCATCTTCCTCCCCCACTTCGTTCTTCCCCACTCCCCTCAACGACCCCATACCCACCCTGTTCACTCCCTCTTCTTTTTCCTGATCCTCGTCCTTTTTTCCTCGTTCTTTTTCTCTTTTCTTTTGTATTCTTTTACGTCCCGTAAGATTTTACAAGACGCCGGCACGTTTTAATAATCGTGTTCGAGCAAAATTCATTTGCATTCTAAAAGCAAATGAATTATTATTTTTACTTCATCGTACATTTCGTATTTGTTAATTTATCATTAATTTTAAATCAAATAATAAATTATCAATTGTAATATTTAAATATAATAATATATACGTTAGATGATTTTACGTCTAGAGAGACGGATCGAATCACTATGATTGAATCTTGATTATGAGATAGGATGAAAAAAATTGCGAGTGCGAGTTATATTTTAGATTATTTTCGAGTGAACGTGAAACGAAAAGCGTAATGAAATGTTTATTTTTTGTTTTTGTTTTTTTTTCTCTTTATACGAAGCTTAAAGAACGTTATGCGCATTAATTTATTAATTCTCGATCTCGAATATTTATTTACGATTGATATTTACGTTAAATGATTTTACGTATGGAATCGATGGAATATCTTTATTGCGTGATTTTAGATTATTATACATTTTAAATTATATACACATAATCATTATAATCAATATATTTTAGATTATATATAATCACTTTTTAAAGAAAATTATTATGTAGAAGAAAGAATCAGTATCCGATAAATGAATTAATTGTACGATTGTAAAGCGTTATTACGATTAATGAATAATTCTTCTTCATTTCGTTTTACTTTTTATTTTGATTGACAAATCATTTTTAATATAATATTTATTTATTTGATATTTAATTTTTTTTTCTTTCTTTTTTTCTTTTTCAAATAACGTTTAGTAGAAATTTTTTTTCTTTATTTCTTCAGCGTACATGTGCGATCGAACTTTTCAAGAGGAGATATTCAACGATACGAACAAATAGAAATGTCGAGAATAAACAGGAGGAAGGGGCTTATTTTATACAATTATTATTGATTTATTATTGTAGTTATATCAAATTACAATGAGCAGAGCGAAAAAGAAATTATGTTCATATTATACGTTGTAAGAGAAAAATGAAAAAAAAAAGAAAGAAAAAAAAATTATACAAATTTGAAGCCACGAATGAATATCAAGATATATATATATATATATATATATATATATATATATATATATTATATAATATTTTATGTTCACTTACTGACGTTCTTTATTCAAATAGAATTTTCTTTGAATTATTATAGCCACCTTTGGTATGTATGTACGTGCATATCTAAGTACAACGAATGCGTTCAACGTTTGGATTATTATAGTCACCTTTAGTATATACGGAGAGCGTTCAAAGTTGGATGATTATAGTATTACCTTTGGTATATACAATGAGCGTTCAATGCATTGATTGATTATAGTTACCTTTTCTAAGGAAAGGATTAATGAGATAGACTTTGACATTAAATTATGAAAGAAGTAGATACATTTGGTGAATTATAGTTTCGTTAATTTTATCCAAAGGATTCATTTTTATGAACTATCCTTGATATGCGTTGTTGTCGGTTTTTTTTTTCTTTTTTTCCAAATGAAACATTTGAGTTCTCGTTTTTTATTCCTTTTCTTTTTCCTTTTTTTCATTTCTTTTTTTTTTTCGTTTTCCTTTCTTCTTTTTCTTTTCTTGTATAATAGCTTTTGAATCGAAACGATTATAACGATGTAATCAAAGATAACAACGTGAACATTATAGAAAATCGATTTCTACGTTCCGTCGTTCGTTCGTTCGTTCGTTCGTTCGTTCGTTCATTGGTTTGTTCTTTCGTTCGTTTGTTCGTTTGTTCATTCGTTTGTTCGTTCTTTACGTCTCTTCGTTCGATGTCCTCCGCTAATCGTGGCAAGCCCGTAATCGGTAGAAAAGAGTATTTACACGGATACATGGGGGGGCGTTTAGGTTTGAACGTGTGTGCGTGTTGCGTTTAAAAAGAGACGATGAGAAATAAAGAGAGAGAGAGAGAGAGAGAGAGAGAGTGAGGGAGGGAGGGTCACGAGTCACGATATCAACGGGAGATGGGGTCGAAAACAATTTAATGGCTGCAAATGGCAGTCTTGGGAAATTGGCATTGTACGAACAGACGACGAAAATGATGCGGAGAGGAGACAAAGAAGAGAAGGAGATGAGAAAAGAAAGAAAGAGAGGGCGCGAGAGAGAGAGAGAGAGAGAGATATAGAGAGAGATGGATAATGCCAAGGAGAGTCTCGCCAAGAGTTCGATGCAGTCTCTCGCGTATTCGGTCTTTAAACGTTTGGTAAAAAGGGCTGGACACGATTTACTCTTGATTACAGAGTCGCCGGGTCAAAAGTCGAAACAAAATGACCGTAGATGCTTAATGCGAGCGAGAAAAGAGATGGATATAAAGGGAGAGAAGGGAAGAACCAAGATTATAGGTAAGAACTAATAATTCGAAGAGGCACGATCGCTATAGGAACGGTTACTCTTTTTAAAAGTACGTCGGGAGGTATCTTCTTTTTAATTTAAAAAAAAAAAAAAAAAAAAAAAAAAAAAAAAAAAAAAAAAAAAAAAAAATCTTTTTTTCTTCTCCTTCCTCTTTTTTCTTTCTCTCTTTTTTTTTTTTTTTTTTTTTTTAAGAAACCAAAAGAAATATAGATATTGTCGCCATAAGATTGTCTCTAGCGTACGTAAATAAGTAAGTAAGTAAGTAAGTAAATAAGTAAATAAGTGAGTATAAGTAATAACTGAGTAAGTACTTACTTATAGTTCGTTGTTTCACGTTGAATGAAATAAAACATTTTTACTTTATGTGAAATCAATTGTTTTTCCATTGAATGTTTTCATCAGATTCGATTGATAATATTATTATA